CATCACTCATGAAAGGCAGCGAAAATAGAATGAAGGAGGGAGGCGAGTGTAAATGTGTGTGTTTGTGTGTGTGTGTGGAGGTAAAATGACTAGCCGATTATGCATGAACTGAACTGTTAAATATGTACGTGACCAGTGCACTGTATATCGATCGAAAAGACTAATGCAAAGTGCTTGCTTTCTATCTTCATTGCTTTTTGACCGCCCCCACCCACTCTCTCTCACTGTCTCTGTTTTCTTCCAATAAATGCCTGATTATCTTAGTTGATTAGTAATCAGATTCAACTTTTCAATTCAGTTTTAATTTTTATTCAGTCTGGGGAATGTATGATTAATGATCAGTGTTGCCTTTTAACAATTTTAAGCAACATCATATTAACTTCTGTTATTTTTATTGCGATTAATTTCTGTGAAGAAGTTCAGACCAGTTTGCTGAACTAAACACGTTGGAATTACACACTTTGATTTCACTGAGATTTTACAAAAATTGAAATTTTTACAAATCAGACAGAATACACAGTTTGGTTTTTATTTCAATTAATTTTTATAAACTCACACTATCTTACCACATTCAACATTTGAAAAAGTGAAGGTGACGAAAAACAAGCCAAATGGACTCACTTACCTCATGGTCAACAAATAACAGTAAAAGTAAGTGTGTGATAGTTAGCTGTAAACAGATTTTGTGTAAGATTGTTAAATTTGTTTGTTTTAATTATTGATTTTTATTTGCTTTTGAGTGACTTTTAATTGTATTATTTAATGATAAGTTTATGACAGTACCCTGCTCTGTATGTCAGTCTGTCATCAGTCAGTGGTCTAAGCTAAATGGCCTCAATGTTGAGTCCCTCAAAATGTCAGACTATTGACTTCTCCTTTAGGCATAAACGAGATCTACAAACACTAGTAAGTACTCATGAAGACTGTTGTATTGAGGGGACTAAAATTGAAACTAAGTCTAATGCTGAATACGTCGGTCTAGTTCTATCTTCCGAACTTACTTGGACATCTCATATCCTAACGATTTCTAAGTAAGTGTTCTGTCTAACCTACTACATTAAGAAACTAAAATAATCTGGAATCACCCAACCTATACTTTCACAATTTGTCAACTCTCCTATCTTACCTATTCTACTTTACTGCTCCCCGTTAGTCTTTCCTGGTCTACTGAGAAAGGACTATACCATCCTGAGAAGGATGTTGAAGGTAGTTTGTAGGACTAGTGGTGTAAAACTCAGTCAGCTCGTCACTACTTTAGTTGGTAGGCATCTGAATACATGCGAAAAATGGTCTAAAACCATACTCTAAGACCCCCAACTGTCGCCTTGTATCTCATCAAGGGGAACCAGATATCAGTATAGAAAAATTTATGCTCGTACAACCAAGTACAGGAACTCAACGATACCATACTTGGCCCGTCTTCTAAGTGACAGAGACAATGTTAGGCGCGAAACCAGTGACTTGCTTTGTTGTTAATAACATAATTTTAGGCTCTTTTATTTCTCTCTTATTTTGTATTCTGTAGTTAACACCTTCTTAAACATAATTAGCTACCTAAATTATTAACATTGGCTTCCCTTTTTTGTACTTTACTATATTCCTTCTTTTGTGTATTCACTGGTTCTGACTATATTAGCTCTATGAGTATTACAAAATTGTCCTGTCATTAACCATCATGTAATTATTAGTTTTGTGGTTGTTTTTTTGTTTTGTTCGGCAATATTAACTGACAATCATTGGTTGTGAACGCCATTGTCACCATCTTAAAATTTTGTATTATGCAGGATTACTCACACTACCACTACAATAAAAAAACAAAACAACAGCCCTGAAATGTTATTTCATGATTGTTTAGAGTTGTTTCAACCAAATTAACTGACCATCTTGGCGATAAACATTCTGAAATATCATTTCATAACTTCTTGTATGACTACAGCTTTACTGTCACCATGCATAATCATATCATAGCTTCCACTACCCAATACTGAGATATTATTTATTATGTTGTTTATTTTCCTTTCTACTTCTTGGTATTTTTTTGCATTTTTTAAAAATTATTTTATGTTTTTCCTGTTTTTTTGCTGTTGATGTCTTTATATTTATTTTTCTTGAAATACTCTTTTTAAATATTTGATAAAATTAGATGCAAATATTGTAGACATGCGCTGAAAATTCCACACTGTACCACTAGAACTGTTTCTGGAATAAAGCAAATTATTATTATTATTGCATAGATTGTAGAGGCTATGCACACACGCGCATAAACATTATTCATGCAATCACTTTCAAATTGTGGAAAATACCCATTGGGACATTAGAGGGAAAAGAACAAGTGGTTCAGCAAAGATGGCGAATCTTTTCGGCGATTTTATTCTCAATCGCATTTATATAGATGAGTTTACATGGATTCCACATAGTGACGAAGGCGATATGATATGAAAGTTTGAAGTTACGAATATAGATTACAAAGGGGCTTAGAGACAAGATTGCATAAGATTAGAAAACAGTTACAAGGTATGCAAAATTAATACTTGATAAATGGAGGAACAATGTTTTAAAGGCGAATAAAAGGTGATAATTATTTGCAACTTGATATGAATTACAAGAGGATTAGGAACAAAAGTTACGCAGGGATAGAACGAATTACAGGTGTGAACAAAATGAGCATGGAAACAAATCGAAATCAAAATTTTCAACTTGAAATGTGAGTTAGAAGGTGTGAGTATAGATTAAATAAGGGAAAAAAGCAAAAAAATTGCACAGGATTAGAAAATGATTGTAAAATGGTTATTCTAAATGGATTACAAGTGTGATCAGAAGGAGCATGGAAACAAATTTAAAATAACTGATTTTGTGACTGAAAAAAATGGGATGAATTGAATGAACGCAAAGAGAGAAAATTACACACACAGAGAACAAAACAAAAAATACTGAAGGATACGAGAACATACCGAACTAGGTCCATTGTAGCTGCAAAGACTGAACTAGTTTCTTTTTAACACAAAGCTCTGGCTTTTCGATGCATGTAGTGAGGGCTCCCGCAGTACAAAGAAGTCAGAAACACTCTGCCTTTGGTAGATTTTTGTTCACTTTGTAAATGACTCCGAATGATGCGTCAGTTGGGATTCTGTGTCAGGTATTGACGAGGTGTTCAGTTATGACGCTTCTGATTGAACCAGTGCCTCCTCTTGGAAGTCATGCTGGATGATGTTCCCTAACACGTTTGATAAGACCCGCATAGAACGACCTATGAACCTAGCTCCGCAGGAGCAGGTGAACTGATACATGCACATTGAAGTGGTTATATGCAGAAGTCTGTCCTTCCCGTTGTTCCGAAGTAGTGGGGTAGGGTGGGGGTAGAGAATATCTCTCTTAGTGTAACTGCCGGAAATGTGGAATTAAATAAATAATAATTGTATCCACGTAAACTAATCTATATAAATGCGATTGTACAGCTGCTTTTGAGAATGAAATCGCCGAAAAGATCTCCATCTTTGCTGAACTGCTTGTTCTTTTCCCTCTAATCACTTTCAGTCAGAATAGTTACTTGTCATTTGTTGTCAGCAGTTCAACCTAATACCTGTAAGTTACTCAAAAAGGCAGATGGCAGTTAATGCGTCAAATGATAGAATAAGACACACTCACTCTGTGGTAACTTTTGTGCACTGACTGAGGTTAACATACAGACTTCGATAGCTGCTAGCGAATTACTTGAACTAGTTAACTTCCTTAGATGGAGAAAAACAATTTTTCATGCGTTTTGACATTCTACAGGTAGTCAATGTTATGTAGATAGGTGAATCTTATTAATGTAGTCTTCTTTAGATTCAGGTTGTAAAATTATGCGACATCTCTTTCTCATTCTACGAGTGATCTAAAGACATCAAGAACACGAGACATACACTGATACCGTAATATGATTATACCAAATAGTCCACCAACCACTACTGAATAATGTCAAGCTATGGTTATGCTATTCAGAAATTTTCACACCTAAGCCTTCATGAAGACATCAGATAGGCTTTTCTGTAAGTCCATTTGAAACCACCGACTTCCTTCATTAGCAGTGACAAAAGGTCTCGCCTGCGAGATCGACTGACACTTTTTCATTCTACGTGATAAGCTCCATGCAAATTTGAAGAGAAGACCAATAAGGCTGAATAGTTTGTTAAACTGTACTTGGGATTTTTGAATTATTTTGTCCCACCGTTATTGGTTTTAGTGTTGCAGCGATCCACGTAACTTAGATTTCCACATGAATTCAACAGATTCTATTTACACTATGTCAAGTCGCCAGAAAACATCACGGATGACAAAGACAACCATTTCTCACCACGCTCACGCTCTAATCGCTTTTAAAAACTCAGTTCGTACAGACAATGTGTCAGATCCAGTTTCCACAATGGACTATGGGATGCAACTGCCTGTATTGACCAATCCTCCGTGGACAGAAATGTAGATCACAGTCAGGAACTGTCGTCCCTGTTATGATATGGTAGACTTTGTTAGGGAATGTTTGTAATATGATTGCAGATAGGTGATAGACAGGGTAGATCTCTTATTTGTTGGCGACAGACTGGTGGTGTGTGAGGCGATGAGTAAAATATGCCTTAAGGCAATAGTCATTCCGGTTGGTGAAATATTGGATGAACAAGGGAACTGGATATTACATGGTAGCTGCGAACTGTAAACTTCGGACCCTATCCAATTCTCAACGGAGAATTGTTAGCTGCACGCAGCTTTATTTCCATTACCGTTCATAATGAAATCTGAATAGAGAACAGAGAAGACGAAACATTCCTAGTGCTGCCAATTAGTTATCGTTCATTATTACTGAGAGTGAAGGCATTGAATTAGTCACCTCGTTTAACTCTCCTTGATTTCAGGAAGTTGTTTTGTGGTGTTGAATGTACTAACAATGTCCTCTATTGTCTTTACATGTAGACGAGAAAAATGTCGGTGTGGCACATCGAACAGACTATAAATCGAACCATTCTCAGATGTCCAACGATGGGAATGCCCTTCATCTGAGGACAGCATTAACCAGAAGTCCTCCAGCATTAACTACAGGAAGACCATGTCTTGCTGGTACTCAAACACTGAAGCATCAACAAGCTGAAGAGAAGCGAATCAATCTGAATTTGACCAATGAACGCTTCTTTAGTTTGAATGCTCGCGAGTGTACTCAAGAATCGAGTGGAAACGGCTCCGTGTTGTCTGACCAGGGTAATTCAAGTTATTTTGAGAATGGAAACAAGTATGAGGCTAATTTACTTTGGGCTGGACAAGGTCATGTAAAACTGGAGGGAGATACCAGTGACATGAGTATAGAGAAGAGTGATGAATTTATAAATGGTTCAGGTAATAGCAGTAACAGTAACAATAATAATCTGGAGGATCCAGTTGTCAAATCAGAGTATCGACCTCTTGGAGCTCGAGCAAAGGACTTTAGTGTAGCTGTAACAGCTTCACCTTCGAGCTCAGGAAGGTCAACACTTCATTACGCTTCTGATGACGACTTTGATTACGATTCAATGGTTGAGCAGACACATAAGATTGCCAGTGAGGATTTTCAGACACTAGACGATAATCTAACATTTATAGCACAGTATGTGAAAGAGTTGACAGGTTGTGGTGAGTCAATAAAATCGATATCGACAACAGATAATCGTGTTAAAAATGCACCGTCAACCCATAAATTTACAACAGCAAACAAGCCACAATATCAACAACAACAACAACAGCAACAGCCACCATCTCAGTCGATACGCACATCACTACCACATCCTGTTCATAACCAAGACGACTGTCAGCCTCAAAAACTACAGCAGCTACAACAATTGTATCAAAGTGCAGTTTGGTTATTGTCAACGAGGAACAATACTGAGATTGGAAAAGGTAATTTAACGTTGGTTGCTAATTACTTATAACATTATCGGTTAGTTGGTAAAGATATGAGAGGGATTGATTTTTCTAATTTCAGTAAATCGAATAACGGTTCCTTGTTGTTTGCTGTTTACCACTCTTTTCAGCATATAATTTGGAATGTATGTAAGTGATGGGAAGTAGATTTTTGTGCTCTTTGTCATCACAGCTTGAAGGGACGGGCATACAACTAAGGCTGATCAATTTAAGTACTCATTTTTCAGTCATATACTTGTGGATATAATGCATCCCACCTCACTCTACTAAGTCTTATTAGGTGGTGAGTTTTCTGACACTGCTTGCGTTCCTAGAGGAACATAATACTTCAAGCTTTGAGATTTGAAGATTCAGAAGCGACGCTGGTGTTTTTACAGGGTGTGATTTCAAGCCTCACTCCCAACCTTCCCTCCTTCCAGGTGTTACTTTTGTCTAGGAGTGTTTCAACTGGGAATCAAACCTCCATCTCTTTCGTGATTCGTGTGCATTTTATTATTAATCTAGGGAAACATTTAGTGATGATATCAACCTTGGATGAATATGTTCACTGGGCTACATCAGTTTTGTCGAAATACAAGTGGGAGTAAAGCTGAATGAGTAATATGGACAACCATTTTTCTTTTAATTGAATTTTAGATTTTCCCGTCGATTGATTGGACGGAAGTGCTCGGTCTCAGGTTGACATGTCGGCTTCTTGAGCAGATGCTTCAACGATGTCTGGATATCTAATTAGTATTTACTTGGTGGATGGTGATTAGTGGATAACGCTTTGGCGTTTGAAACTATGGGCACTGGGTTCGAGCCTCGGTGGGAACATCATCACTCACTGAGAAATGCAGGTACATCCAGTGACGAGTCCCAAATAGGACGAAACGCGCATCCTGGATTCCACTGCTAGTCACCATCCACCAAGTAAACTATTTTTCTTGTTTTAATTCTTATGCAGAGATTCATAATGGTGATTACCTTACATACAGTTTCGAATGATAAGTGATTGATTTACCAAACTCTTATTTTTACATTGTTCATGGTGTGTCTGTTCACTTTGTCGATGATTTCACGAGAAGAATAAGCAATCTATGTGCTTTTCTTACATTCAGATCTCACTAATTCGCTAACCCAAGACTTCCTTCTCAGCTTTTCGACAAATTCCAATATCAATGAGGATCTATTGAACAGTTTCTTGACGACTGCTGATTCAATTAATGAAAGAGGTAATCGAAGATCTTTAACTGAATCTGATCAGTGCGATACACCATCTCCTTTCACAACATTTCAGTCACCAAATCAGAATCGTCAAGTTACCGAAAATGACTTGACATCACATGAGGAAAGTCTGCACCGAAATATTCTCCACAATACATCACATGTATCAACGCAAAAGAACTTCCAGGATATGCATTCAGTTGGTATGCATCGTATCAGCAGTAGTAATGAGAATTCAGTAGGTGCTTTACTCAACGGAAGGATCAGTGCACTACAAAATCCTCCATCATCAGCTGACTACAATCATTTGGTTAATCCACCCACACAGCTGATTGCTAATCACATAACGACGAATTTGTTCTCCAAAACAACTTCGAATTATACTCCATTTCTAGTGAACTTATTGAACATGTCTCAATCACTAATGAACACTTCAGGAGGTCAAATGAATACTACAGTACTACAAGAACAGACTGATATAATCCTCAATCTTTTGGTAAATCAGAGGGCCAGCATTCAGTCGAATTCTTTATGTAACAATAACAGTAATAATAATAATAATGCTGTTAATAATCTTCCACAAATGTCTCACGGATATTCTGCAGTAGGGCACCTAACAAGTTTGGCCAGTTCATCCCTATCTGGTTATCAAGGGAATATTTCTTCTTTCTCTTCATCTTGCCAAAACGATCAGCACACAATGTTAAACAGAAGTCTTACTGAAAAACTGTCTCAGAGGATCATTCCTTATCAACAACGTCTGAATTCATTCACAAATGATGTAGACAAAGTTGCTAATGTTTACAGGAATTCAGCAGGTACGTTTTACTACTCATCTTTTTATCAGTTGACGTTATCACTTTAACTGCATATTTTATGAGTAACAGCATGTCTAGAAATAGGGAATAATTAACTTACAGAAAGTGATGCTGTTCTAACAAGTGTCTATCTACAATGACCCTGACACCGGTTCCTCAACATGTTCACCTCTGTATATTGTATCTCAAAGATTGAAAGGTTTGAAGTCCAGAGAAGAAAGATTTAAGCGAGAGAAAAAACACTTGCTGGACGAACTACTTATTCGTACTTAGTTCAGTTGAAACTTTTCCGTCGACTGATTGGATCAAAGTGCTGCGGTTCAGGTTGACATGTCGGGTCTTTGTGCAAACTATTATTAGTATGCTAGTTGATTTAATGGGAAACTATTTATCTAGTTAACAAATTTGTCTGCGGTTTGTTAGATTAGGCGTTCAACCACAACTGTAACACTGTTCTTCCCACTGCAACTTGAGATGTAATGAAAGTTGCATAATTATGCACCTGGCTGCTGAATATACTACTGGCCGCTCAACCATCCATGTTTTTATCTAATACAGGAAACTGATGAGCATTATGTTTCACATTTCAGGTACCCTAGCAGCCAAAGGTGAAACCATCTACCAGTGGTCGGGGAGACTACCGCTTAGCAATCATAAATCTGGACCGTTTTCTCGGAAAGTATTTCTTGGTGGATTGCCATGGGATAGTACAAGCGATAGAATAGTGAAGGCTTTTTCTCAATTTGGCAAAGCTTCTGTCTTCTGGCCACCAAAGGATGGAAGTCATTCGAGCCCTATAGATAACAAGAGATATCCAAGCAGAGGTAGGTGATTTTCTGAATAAATAGTAAGAAGGCCAATTTCCACCTACTTTGTTTCATCTGATTGACGCTGGAAAATCTTCCTATTTTAGGCTACTGTTATCTAATATTCGAAGAGGAGACTTCTGTTTCTAAACTGCTGGCAAACTGTTTCGAAAATCCTGACAAAGGTGGAAATTATTACAAAATGTCAAGTCCTAAGTTCGTATCCAAAGATGTGCAGGTAGGTACATATTTGACGGTGAATCTGACATATTTGTTCAAGAGTGTGCTGTTGAATAATTTCTCTTAGCTGTAACTTCAAGATAGTGGAAAAGATTGAAATCTAGAAAATGATATCATCCATGAATATTGGAATGTTTGTGGGTTTTATCGAGCTTATGATACGCACTGTTGATGAATCGACTGAAATTCCTTTGAAGTAGGTTATTCGTGATATACAAATATGCATATCGCCAACCCACTGGGTTTTCAAAAGAAACACCTACAAAACAAATTTAACTTTTCTCAAGTCTGTCAACGGAACACTTCGTACCTCGCACGAGTTAGCTGACACTCAGACATACTAAGTCGGCAGAAAAAATAGTAAATTCTTCTTACCCACAAGGTACACTACACCCCTCCCATGATTATCGACTGACAAATAATTCTTCAGCTAAAATGTACGGCTTATGCGTTCCACCACATCTCGTGTTCTGACATGCAGAAAGCTCTCCGTAAGCGTGGCAATAGCATTAATTTCCTTTGACCTAAAACAGTACTTATGATACAGTGTGGAATTCTCAGCATCGCAACTAATTTACTCAACAACAGCAAAACTTAAAAAAACTACAGGGTATATGCAACCACGATTGATAATGGCAGCTTTTTGGTATTAGCAGTGAAGATAAGGTCAAAAATGTAGAAAATGTGTACATTGATGGCAATGATAGTGCTGATAACTAAAATTATAAGCTGAATGAAATAGTGCCACCATAGATTACGAATGAGAGGGTGTAAAAGAGGCTATTAGTTTGGTAATAACATAGTAAGTTGCAAGTTTTACGCCTAACACTATCTCTAGAACGCAGGTCAAATAGGGTACTGTTGAGTTTTTGTACTTGGCATATACAAACATATAATCCTCAATAATGACCTCTAGTCCTACCAGATAAAATGCAACAAGGGGAGATTCGAGAATAGAGAGGGTGTTGACAGTCAGACACTGGAGACTTAGAGCATTTCTCACCTGAGTTTACGTGTCTGTCGACTATGATGGTGACGAGATGAATAAGTGGCACACTACTTGCCCTACTGACAATCATGATCACCCTGCGCAATATGATATAATCTTTTTTGAGTAGTCTAGGGGAGACTAAGTGGTGGGGAACAATCAAGAACAACAGGTAAGTTGCGAGAGTTAGCAAATTGTATGAGTAGAGGTCGAGTGATTCCCGGCTGTCTTAACTTCTTAATGTTGAACGGAACACTTTATTAAAACGTCGGCAAGATGTGGGATCACCGAGAAAATTCAGAGGATAAAACTATTCCAAGGTATGTAACGCTTGACTTAGTCTCTATTTCAGTGCCCTCCGTGCTACATGCATCTCGTTAACAGACCAGTTAGTGAGGATCACTTTTATGCCCAAAGGTGAATCTAACTGTCTGATATTTGGAGGGACTTAACATATTTAGCTTAGATCACTGGCTGATGTCCAATAAAAAGCTATTAATTCTGGAACAGTCAGATCGGGGGAGGCATTTAGTCACCTTTCTAACTCATAAATCGATCAGGAGAAGACAACAGAAACTGGAATGCGATTTATTCCAATTACTCGCAACAAGTTAGTTGAACAAATTAGTGCATTCTGCATAATATCAGCCTATTTACACAGAGAATAAATATCGCGAAAATGAAATAGATTCTGTGATGTATATTTGACAGTGGACAGGAATGCCAATCCACAAGCACATGTCTCTTACTTCATACATATTTCAGACAAATGTAGTACTACTCATTGTCTTGCTGTCATTCAGACTGAAGCCCAGTGGCTATTGTGTTGTCTTTCAAAAAACTATTTGCAAATATTGGAGTGTTATAAAGAAAAATAATAAAAACATCGACTTACAATCTGTTGAGTGAATGTTTTTCTCCTTTCAACAGTATGCAAAGTGAATTTTACTTCACACAAATTGCTCCTAGGCATCATATCCTCTTGAATAAGCTAAGAAAGTGAAGTAGGTCACTTTTGTGTTCCATGGATGTTGTGGATATATGGAATATCAGACATTCATCTGCTTTCTTCATACTGAAACCTGTGGATAAGCGGTTTTCTAGATGGACAACGGATGCTTCGCAATTAAACCAACCAAATTAGAGACCAGAATTAAAATCAAAATCACCCACCTGAGCTACAGATCCCCTCCAGACACTCAGAGGAATTTCAGCGCAGAATTACTTCAAGTGAACAATATCTTACTGCATAATCTTCGTCAGTGGAAAGCGTAGAATAAACATGCGAATAGGACTGAAAGTGAATTGAATCTGCAAGTTCATGCCGAATGAAAATCATGGAGAGTAGAGTAGATAACAAATGGCTTATTAAAGAAAAATCTCACGTATCCCTCTGATCATTTGTCAACATTATCCACCTGCAAATATCTTTCCCACACCAAGACGTCCAAACTCAGCTTATCCTGGAATCTGGCATTTTCAGTTAATATTACGATCGTTTAATATAAAGGGAGTTGATGCATGTTAACTGTAATCCCTCTCATGAAATTCAAAAAAATATATTATCCCAAACTGGTAATCAGTGTGACATTCTGGATTTTCTTTTATTCTAGGTAATCCCATGGGTTTTAAGTGATGATCGCTTCTCAAATTCAACTCCTAAGCCAGAGGATATGAAACGTTCTGTATTTGTTGGAGCTCTGCATGCATTGATTACTGCAGAAGCACTCGTGAAAATTATGGATGATATATTTGGAAATGTTGTTTACGCGACTTTGGATACAGATCGGTACAAATATCCTACTGGTAAGTCTGTGCAATCAAATATTAGCAGTCATATTGCACCATTATGTGTGTCGTCGATTAACATGATTAACGAACTATTTAGATGATTCACTTTGTCAACATATTATACCCCTATTGACCGAACATTCCACTGCTACTGCTCTCATCAAAACCGGAAGATATGTAATATGTAGGGATAAAAATAATCGTAAATGCTGGAGCATGAGACAATTAAGTGTGGTTAATATTTGGCTCATTAGACTTAAAACTGAATATTGAAGCAATGGACTCCTGGTTCCAACCGATTGCAAGTATGTTTGACCTGGTCAAATGAGTTGAATCATTAGACTTCAGATAAAATTTGCATTACAGACATGTGAATAAATTTCTGTCACATTTTCAGCCTATATTTAAGTAGCAGTGCATAACACTACTTGCTGTCCAAAGGAATTCCTGGGAGTCTAAAAGATTTTCTTCTAATTTAGTGAAGGTTATAATAACGAAAGTTGCTGTAACAGTAAGCTGGCATCTTTGTAATATTACAAATTCTCTTCTATTCACTTTGACAAACTGACAAACCAATGTCACTCTCACAGGTGGATGTACACGCATCCTTTTTGTTTTTTCGCGTATTTTTCTCTCCCTTTCAGGTTCTGCTAGAGTGGTTTTCTCGAGTAATAAAAGTTATACAAAGGCTATTATTGCTAATTTTGTCAATATTCGAACGTCGAAGTTCATTAAAACAATTCAAATAGATCCCTATCTAGAGAATACGGTTTGTAGCAGTTGTACCACATTTCCCGGTATATATTTTTGCAGAGCATTAGAATGTTTCAAATATTTTTGTCCAGCTTGTTGGTATGTACGGCATAAATCATTTGATAATTCCTACATGCATATACCATTACGACGTGGATTCAGGACGAATGTTGATCAGCAATAACCACCAGTCATGGTCAACACCTCCAATACTTCATCAATGAACAAGAAGTGAAGACATTGATGAGTTGTCTTGTACTTTTTCTGTTTATCACGAAAAGAAACATTGCTGTCTTCTCCTCTTACTCTCTGTTCGAACCCTTTTACTTTCTTCATTCATTTTTATATTAAATGGGTCAACACTTTTAGTGCTACGAATGTTGAATATTTTTAACGCTTTTTTGCTTTAGCAGGACACAAGAGAAGTTTAGGATTTTAGTCATTATATAACTGACTAGCTAAATAATAATAACAATTCCAGTTTTATATTTCATCCTAGTTATGATGATTTTTATCCTTATTTCTATACATTCCCTTCCTTCTCAGTCACTATCACCATTTTGTTTTAATGAACCAGTTAGTGACTAGAAATTGACAGGGATGTTGTTTTACAAGGCGACAATTTTGAATTCATCTTCTCGCTTCTGCCATTACACCGTCTACTTTTTGGTGTTTTATTACTCACAGAACTGATTGATGATTGTCTTTACTCGAGAGGTGTTCAGCACATTTTATTTTACCGTTCTGATGAAATAAACGGCTTTTGGTAAAATATAACCACAACATTTCTGGTTTTCTCTTGGTCTTCTCTCTTCTTCTTTACTGTCAGCGAATGCGTGGAAGAAAGGTAGGTGTCTGATAGTTTCTCAGTGTAAGATAAGAGACTGGTAGGTAGACAAAGGGGAAAAATGCATAGGAAAATATTAATTATGATTGAGCATTCCTTTACAATCTAATTCGATCCATCTAACCACAGTATTTTCACCTTCCAAATATCTATCGGTCAATGCAGAAGACAAAATTACGACGAAACAGCAAACTGGTAAAGAAGCCACTCTCATCTTGAGATATCAAAGTGGGAGATAATATGAGGCATGTTTAGCTTGCAAAGTGATGTCAAAATGACACTCTACAAAGAGGTACAATGTGGAAATTCGTTGGGATTTGATGCAAGCATACGTTTATTGGTGAAGTTGGACAGAATTTACAACTCTGTTCCTGTGAATATCTTTTTTTAAATATTAGGTACGAAGTGAATTATACTCAGTACCTCATGATATAGATTTTGTTTGCTACTGTCATTATCTTATGTAAAACTTACCGTTTGGAGACTTTTACACCAGATTCAGAATTTCTGATCTAACCGTGTTATACACACAAATGTTCAGCCATGTAATTCATCTATCGGCTGGTGTGTTTACATTCTCTGATCTGGGATTTATCTTAGGAAGCATCCTTTGATTTAGGATTACTATATAAAAAGTGTAATTATTAAATTTGCTTTATAGATAATCTTAGGAACATTATCTAATTATTACTTCAGGTTATCTGACTAGCTGTGAATACAATCGGCTGCCTCAACCAGACGTATCATATTAATATATGAACTTTAGTACAACAGAGTAGAGAATTATATCGCTGACTGGCGGCAAAAAACTGTATGGCTGGATTTTCAACCTGTTCATACTAATAAAGATCTAAAGAATCTAACGTGTATACACCGAAGAGGAGTATGAAAGTAGGGTGAAGAAAGTGGCCAGTACTCCTTGGTTCTCCTTCTTCTTCTCTTAGTGATGACGTGTGTTTCCCAAATCTCCGAAAGGTTCGACTGCTCTTCCTAACAGTGAAGTTAACACAGTAATGCACCTAGAAAAATATTGGACACATACTGTAACGAATAAGGCATGGGAACAGGCAGAATTGAGTGAATATGTGAATATATTGATAGGGGTGCATTTGTGTGTAACTAATGTGGACAGTTGGTCAGATTAATGTTTTTGATAACACTGCCGAACAATGTACCAGTTGAGTAAAATATCATAATAATGTGAAACTGGTAAGATGAACACTGGTAGGAAGAAATGATATCAAACTTTCTAGAAGAGAGAATGAGTTCTCATTAAAACAGAGAAAAAGGATGTGGAGTGACAACAGAGGACAAAGACATGTGGGAGAGGGAACACATGAATTTAGATCCATCTAGATTTTTAGAATCTTGAAGGTGATTAGCAGTACATACATCTGAACCACTGGAAATGCTTTTGATAATCAGTCTCTTACCGTCTATGCCAACTAGATAATCAACCCCTCGTTTACATACTCAAAACAGTAGTCAACGAATTCGAGGATCGATGAGATGTTATCTTCTGACCAATACTATCTCGTTTATAAGTATAATTCCACTGCATACCAAAGGAAACGGTGGACGGTGACATGTAACGCATACTACGACCACCTCCTTCCATGGAATTTTCTCACTGTCATCGAGTAGCTTTTGTCACATCGGATTATGGCTCCCCATAACGCCTTACATAACTGTATGACTATTGTCAGTAATCTTCTTTGCTCACTCAATTCATAGTCAAACACTGTCACAGCACCAGTCGGTCAACAGAGATATATCCCAACTTCAGATTAAGAAATATGGCAAGTATTGGACAGCTTGCAGTATTGCTACTCTCCAAAACTTGTCAAAGCGACAAACAATTGGACCAAGGAAGTCTCATCTCGAGCAGATGACTGACTGGATTTTCTGATTTTGTAGTTTTGTTTGTAAGACTAAGGACCCCATGGTACTTCAACAGACAAACTGAATATTTTGCTTTTATAGCACATTGTCACAAAATGGGATGATCAAAAATCTACACCATTTTTATGGAACTATCTCAGATCCCCTCATTGACTAGCAGTCACATTAACTGATCTAGTCAGTGATCCTACATTGCACTTATTGTGATTTCGATTATGATATTATGGTACATCCACGTTTCCTAGTAATACTACGCACTAACGTCGTAAGCTGGTCAGAGATGAACAACTTTGTATAAAGAAGCACAAATGAAAACTTGAAAAGATGTATTGTCAGCTAAACCAAATTTCAAAGAGCGCGAGGCGAACGCGAGAGTGTAGACTTAAGATAAAAGCGTTATATAAATGGCAAACATTACACGATTAAATGTGATCATGCAAAAAACGTCTATGTCCAAACAGTAGCAGTATGAGCTAGAAATGAATGTATCGATTACGTTAGTGAGCAGTTTTATCGTGATTTCGAATAAAGACAAAAACATTTCACAGTTAAGCAGTGATAATTTAAACGTGACTTTAAGGCCAGTGCACTCTCCTATCAGATAGCGTTGTTTTCACGGGTTTTTCTGTTGACGTTGCAGTTTTAGTGACTGGAGGTGTTGGCACGTAGTTCAGTTGATCTGTATCATTGTCTTGGAAGTTATTGATAAACGCTGATAGCTTCTGATTTATTCGGTCATTCTGACGTGATTAGTTTGTCACTCCTCTGCAGCCTGCTAAACCATACGAAGTCCAGCCTAATACTTGGCAACGAAAAGTATCATCTACTTTGACAGCTCCTGTTACTTATCCAAACTGCCAAAGAAAGGTCACTTGGGTCAATGTAAGAACTGACGCGGAATTGTGCTCCTGTCCATCTCAAGCAAAACAATAAAACGCATCATCCTGGAGAGAATCGAACAAGCCAACCTGGATGAACACCTCGACCGGAATAGGCTGGATTCAGGAGGAACAAGTCATGCATCGATCAAATCCCAACGGTACGGATCACCATTGAACAAACCGTGAAATGGCAGTAAGCTCTCTATCTCAACTTCATCGACTTTGAAAAGGCCTTCGATAGCGTCGATCAAGAGGTGATTTGGCAACTACTTCACTACTACTGGGTGCCACCAACAATTATACATCTCATCCAGCAGTTGTATGACAATGCTTCGTGTCAAGTAATCCACAACGGAAAACTCAGGGAATCCTTCGATGTGAAGAGAGGAGTAAGACAACCTGGCTTCCTACTGTCTCCAATGACTTTCCTGATTTCGGCAGACTCGATCTTGCGACAGACAACGGTGGGCAGCGATGAAAAAGGCATAAAATGGAACAACACAAAACACTTGCAGGATCAAGACTTCACCGATAATGACATATGTCTGATTTCCCACAAACTGGAAGATATGCAAGTGAAAAGCAACACGTTGTCAGAAGAAGTATCAAAGATAGGAAGGATATCAGGTGAACGTAGAGAAAACAGATGTGGTGATGAAGACTCCTGGCCAACAGCAACAGCCACAGCAACCACAACAGACAACAATCAGCCAGCATAAATTAGAGAAATCTGAAAGACGCAACCTCCTTTACCCACCAACCTGGGAAGCATGGTTTCAACCAAAGGAGGATGGAACTGATGAGGATATCAAAGCAAAGATTGGGAAAGCAAGGCAAGCTTTCATTACTCTCTAGTCTGTGTGGAGGTCAACAACACTCAGAATGAAAAATGAGATTTGGATTTTCAACTCCAATGTGAAATTAGTGCTACTTTATGGATCAGAGACTGTACACCACGACATGAAGAGCACCTCAAACAAACTACAGACCTTCATCAACAGCTGTTTTCGCTCGATACTTTGCTCAAGATCAGATGGCCTCCAAAAAAGATATGCAACAGGGATCTCTGGCAGTGATCGAACCAACTCAACAGGAACCGATTGGGTAACAAATAAGCAGGAAGAAATAGAGCTAGATTGGATTGGCTACACCATTAGAAAACGAACCATCAAGTGAGTGACATCACCTGCCAGGCAATCGCTTGAGTGGAACCCGAATGCGAAGTGGCGAGTTAGTCGTCAGTGCGAGGGTGACAAGGAGGTCATGTGAAGAGGAGATGAAAGCATGTGGGCAGATATGGAGCTAGGCAAAAACGTTAGCAGAGAACTGAACGCAATGGGGACGTGCTGCTGAACCCCTATGTTCCTCTAGTAATTAAAAGAAATAATAATAAATAATAATATAATACATACGAAACAATCCTCAGTCGAATAAGGACAAAATCAGATAACTGAATAACCGTGATCACTTGGCTTTATATTTTACTAACGTTCAATGGGCTGCGTTGGTAGGGACGTGTGAAGTAGTAACAGACTCAGTGATCACGAATATCCC